TAGGGAAAAATATATACATTTCTTAACATAAATAAATGAGAAAATAATATATATCTTGCATATACATATATGTATATTAAATACACAATTGCCCAGTTTCACAGACGGGGTTTAGCTTCAGCCAGGACTATAGGCCAAAGTTCAATTAGGATTTTAAAGTAATTTTTATAAACATGCCTTAGAAAAAACATTACTGGTGTGCATATAGAGACAAAACAAGGGCACTGACATCTTTCAAGATCAATCAGTGCAAGTTTCTTTCAGTTGAAACAGCTCAGACTTACATTTTAGTCGGGGACTAGGCTTAAGCCTTGTCTGTGAAACCAGGGGTATATGTACTGTATATGACTATAGGTGCTTTTCTTATTTATTGTATTATAGGCTTTCCCCTCCTCCAGCTCTTTTGAAGACCACACCTGAACACCGTGAACCCTACCTCAGAGTGACAGTCACATTAAAATGCCATTAAAGTGTGAAATAGGAACAAGGCGTGAAGGGAGGTTTAACCCCAAGCTATTTCTGAGCACCCTTGGATTATACAGATAGGAACATCCACTTTTCTGTTGTTGCTTTTCTTTCTCTTCTACTTTTTACCGGTTCCCTTTGTTCAATTTGCACAAGGCCAATGGAAAAAAATGTGTGTATTTGGGGTGGATTGCGTGGGGGCTGATGAAAGAATGGCAGGGTTAGGGTGTGAGTGCATTAAACGGGCATGCCTACCTCTATTCTGCAATCAGTCTGTTTTCTATGTGTCTTTTAGCAAGCTCACCTCTCACTCTGCGCAAGCATGTCTAAGCAATGGGGGATGACACTGCCGTGCACCTGAGCACGCTGTAAAAAAAAAAACACTATGTGCATATGTGCCACCGTCTACAAAAGAGCTCGAACAAAGACGGTGATATCTGGGATTGTTCCGTGATCACGGCAACAACAAAAGAGATCAGTCACGTAAGTGACAACAAAATTCCCTGTGTTTAGTCTGCCATATCTTGTGAATATTTTCTAAAAAACATACTGTATATATATTGATTTGATTGCATTTCAGCAATAAAAAGCACTGTTGGTTTTGCTAAGGGTCTCAAGCTGTGCTCTTTCAGGAGGGAACGATGCAGTGAATTGGACTGAGACCCTGGCTTGTGTCAACTCAGTGAGACTGAACACATTAAAACTGATGAGAGTGTACTTAGACAGGTTAAAGCTCACCAAGCGTTTGCTGCCTGGATGCACTAAATCAATCAATACATCAGCACGAATCTACAAAAACAAATTTGACTGCATGTCGTCTTTACTTTAATAAGTAAAAAGTAAAAATAATGAATTATATTATTTATTATTATGTATATACACAATACATTTAAATAGGATCAATATAATTGTATAATTATATATAAAATCATAACCATATACTGTATATATACATATACACACACATATATATAAATATATATAAACATATGTATATGTTTGTGTAATAAATGATGATTGCTTTTATATTTTCAGTAACTTTGAGTAGATTGTGGACTGAAAGCATGGATAACAAAACACATATAGGACACATAACTTAATTTTTGTTTCACTTTTTAATTTGCTTTGAGATAGATTAGGATTAAGAAGTTTTCCTGATGCTTTCTCTTAAACATTTGCATTAAAGCGAAGTGAAAGCTGATATCAAACCATTTAAACACCCTTCTTCCCACCTCAACTACCCAACTATGAAAGTGTGTCTATGGGGGGATATAAGAATTATTTCCTAATTAATTCCTCTGCCCCACGTAACCCTCAGACTATTCGTAATCCAGAAGGGAACATCTTTATTGATCTTGGGAACGCTTGAGTAGACTCCCAATGCTTATCTCAGCATAAAAAGCATCTCTTGTGACGAGCCACGATTTAATTAGATGACAATCACTGTTAACAATGCACTGCCGACATCACAAAATTTGCACATTGGCGCTGGCAGTGATAAATTTCAGCTGCTCGGACAGGGACAATTCACATCCTTGAATTAACTCTTTCCATATGAGCAGGAATTTCAAAGGAGCACTGCAGATATTGTTAACTAGGAAAAGAACACACAATCATGTTCCATACACAATCTGCCAAACTGGAGCTGCAATTAAAGTTTACCCAGCTGTAGATAACAGAATAAAGGCTCACTATTTTATTAATGCAGGCTGCAAATGATGATGGTGGATGGTGAGGTTTGTCTGTTATATCAAAAAAGTAAGAAAGGTCCCATTTTTTATGCTGCTTGCAATTTGATTTTTTATCCACAAGAGGGCAGTGCATGTGATTTTCTACTTCATTGGGGGAAAAAAGACTTTAAAACAAAGCATATACAAAGAAAGATTACAAATTAATTCATATATTATTTTCACAATTATATACAATATCTCAATATTTATGTTCAGATATGTACAAACTGTATTTCAGCCTGCACTGTTATTCTTGCTCTGAATCGAACCATTTTTTCCTTTCTTTTCCCTTTCTGATCTTTATTTACTTGAAAAAGTTAATTTACTTGAAAGTACTGTGAAAAAGACTACATTTTCAAATAAACAATGGCTGTTTTAAGCTGTTTATGATC